AGGTGGAGCCACTGGGTCTACGGGCCGAGGCGGAGTCCAGGCCTCGGAGGCTGGAGTTAGAGGTGAGGGAAACTCCAACCCCGGTGACACTGGAGGATGGCAGTCCCGCGGAGCTCGCACCGCAATGATGGTGGGCTGAGGGCAAGCAGAGGGGCTGCCAGACGACAGCGGAGGAGGAGGCAGGAGAGGGTGGGTGGGCAGTCATTTTCGAGGAGCGGCCACAGGAGGGCGCTTTCTAGGAGCAGGCACTGGAGGGCGCTCTGAACTGAATTCAGGGGCTGGAACCCTTTCCTCGTCCTTTTGGCACTTTCGCCCTGCCATACTCAGCTCACCCTCAGCCGCGGTGCAGGGGGCGGAGCTCCTCTCCACGCTCACACCGTCCGTGGCTTTCTCCCTCGTGGCAGGCATTGTTGCCGGCTCACACACCTTGACTGACGTCACGGCCTCTGGCTCCGCGGCGATCCTCAGCTCTGTCGCTCTCTCTAGCGATGGCTCGTCGGTCGCAGCGGGCGATGGCTCTCCGTCAGCGGTGGGCTCGGGCATGCGCTCCGCGCAATGGGGAGATGGTGGGCTGGGCTCTGGGTCTGGAGTGGCACTGGCGATTAATTCCTGGGAACCGGCAGGGAACGGAAATCCATTTCTCACCACAAAGGCGGTGGTGAGAAACTTTTTGTCAGTACATACTAAATTTATGTACTAAATAAAACTAAAGTTAAACTAAATTAAAATGAGTAATGTCGCCTTGGCAACTGGCTAAAATAATTTTAAATATATATTTTATTTTCAGTTACCATTTTTTTTTTCAAGTAACATTTTTTAAATGGTTTTAGTTTTAGATAACTGGTAATGCTTTAGATTAAGGAACACTGTTCACTATTAACTATTTGCTTATTAGCATGCATATTACTCGCATATTGGTTGTTTATTAGTGCTTATAAAGCACATATTAATGCCTTATTCTGCATGACTACCACTACAACAACTACCTTAGTTACTATCAAGCAACAAACTGAGAGTTTATTGAGGGAAAACACTCTATATCTCTATGTAACTCAAATAAGCATCGATTGCTTAGAGAGTTACGAAGCTCTTTTGGTTCTGGGCCACACCGTTTGCCAAAGGATGGATTCAGGACAGTTTAGAGGTTTTCAGGTCACAGCTGTAGTGGACCAGCTTCTAAGCCACTTTAGTCAATGTACTGTAAAGCTACGATCAGATTTTCTTCTTCAGCACAATTTTCTCTCCTTACTCACTCATTCCTTAACCTACTTCACTCTCACCCTCTCGCTGCATCTTCCTCGGTTCTGACTGTTGGCCGACCACCCGCCTCGCTTGACAAGAGTAACAGTCCCAGATGAACGTGCTGCGCTCTTCTTTGTAGTATTTAACACAACTTAGCCACAGCGGCTACAGTTAACAGCAGATTAATGCCCTCCTAATCAATGAGTTTACTGTTTGTGTACACAGGCGCTGTGTGAGCTGGACTGTCTCGCTCAGCCACAGGAAGAGCAACACTCTCTATAGAGATTAGTTGAAGTGCTAAAAAGACAATTGATTTCATGTTGCTATTTCTAATTATTGGGGAAGTTCTTCTGACAAAAACAAATGCCTTGCCTTTCCTGACTTGTTTCTGTTGTGAATCTGTCATGGTAAACTATATCTACACCATTGCTGTTCAGTACAGCTATTGAGAGTCTCAATAAGAATATTCCTATAATATTTAATTAGCATTACAATGCAAATGCCACACAAAAGCTGAAATCTCTGAATAGTCCATTGATGTATTAGATGTTTCTTTATTTATTTATTTGTCATATATAAGCTTCTCATCTCACTGCCAGTTTTGTCTTGGTAATGAGGTCCTACTTAAACACTCTCCCCGGCCTTATACCGTCTCTATAGCAACATACAGCGACGAACGTGATGATTTCTTTCATTTGGAAGGAGTTTAGATCAGCCTGGTAAAGAAGCGGATTTGTTAAGCCCTCAAATTGCATGCAAAGCCGTGAAACCTTCACTTTCAGCAGTTTTGAATCATGCCGATATCTGAACTTTCTCCTCACGGTCCATTAGATGTATGCAACAGAGAGATGAATATCAGGGATTTGATGAAAGGGACATATTACATGCTCTGCAGCCTTGTCTTTTGTTGTGAAATGAGCATGCATATAATTATATAAAGGAGTCAGAAAAGTCATGGAGGAGAAACACAAGTCTGTGAGGGAATTTAAGTGAGGTGGAGAGGAAATGAATAGTGCTGAGGACAGAAGGAGGGAGCTGGGTGGAAGTGAACATGGAAAATGCTGAGGTAAAGGTGCTTAATAAGTTAATTAAATTTAATAAGATTTAGGAGCCAAATTACATTTTAGTTCCCAAATTACCATTATTAAATTATTATTTTTGTGAAATATTTATTATTATTATTTTTAATTGCATTAATTGATTTATTACACATTTTGTATTTATTACACTCGCGAGTCAGTTGTGAACCTGATATTCAGCTCACTGACTGAGTGAATCTGATTCAAGCCCTTAACTTAAAAGCAAATGCGAGGCCTTATCATGAATCTTTTTAAACTGACTTATCGAAAAGAATGGGTTCATAAGAGTCTTTTCATGAATCAGACATAACTTGCATTATGTTTTTGAAATGCTGGTGCTTGCTGACAATAAACCAGATCATACATGAAGAAACAACATGTGGATGCTCGCAAAGTTTTTCTGATGAGAGTTTGTATCATTTTATTATCATTTTTATTTATTTATTTATTCATTGATTGATTGATTGCATTGCATTTGCAGCCTTGAGCCCTGAGAATGTTTTTGCAAAATATTTAATTAATTATTTTAAATATTATTTATTAATTTATTATATTTTATATCTTTAATTACACTTGCGGTTCAGTGAGGGAGTCAGTAAACCCAGTATGAATCTGATTTAAGTTGCTAGCTCATAAGCAAATATGAGACTTTTCGTGAATCTTTTTGCCTGACTCGTGTAAAAAATGGTTCATAAAAGTCTTTGTGAATCGGATATTACGTTTGTTGAAATGTTGATGCATGCTGGTAAATGCCACTGTATAAGGATGCTCACAACGTTTTCTTTACATTACTTTATATATATTATTTTCAAGTTTTTTTTTTTAATCTGAGACCATTTTATTTGCACATTTTGCAGCCTGTAGTCTTAAGAATGGTTGAATCACACTATATGCAAATAACTACCTGCTTGCTTGTACATAAATGATCTCAAATCAACATATTTCTTTTGGTTTAGCTGAATGTGTTAAAGAATTTCTACCTCTCTTCTATAAATATATGGTGTTTTGTTTTGTGTGAATCTGTGGCAAAAATAATTGCAAAGGATCAGTATAGAAGGGTAGGGGGCACGTGTTTCCCAGACAACAGCTAGCTCTTGCCAAACTTTGAAGTCCACTGACGTCTGTTCATGACAGCAAAGCATTTCAGAGTTGTGTGTCTCAGTCTGTGCCGGTCCACAAAATGAGGCCTGTTTAAACAGCTGTGTGCCAAGACTTTCACAATCCCTCACTACTGTCCTAGAGAGCTTTTTTTATGTGCGCTGTTGTACCTGTCGTAGGCTAGTAAGAGCTGTGCGTGTAAACCTTTAGCCTCCTTGTTAGAGTGCCTGCCTCCCACGCCGGAGACTGCGGTTCGAATCCCGCTCGGAGTGAAGCGAAGTAGAACCGGTTACATTTGGTGCCATGACCCGGATGGCAGTGCGGTTTAGGGGGGTGAGTGTAATGCCGAGTTCACACTGCACAATTTTCAAACTCGTCGGATCGCAGTTGTTTTCACACTGCGTGGGGTAGCATTCAGTTGCTGCTGTGTTCACATTGCACGATGGATCGGTGACAGGAGGTTTCACACTGCATGACTTCACAATAGGAAGAATCGCCGACAGCTCTGTCTGGTCCACAAACTACGTTTCACAACAAAACACACGTGAGAAGTGATAAGGAAATAACGCGAGAACCCGCGTGCATCAGACCGAAGTTCTCGAGCAAGACTGTAATTATTTACAAATATATATATATAGCCCGCAAATTGTCTGTGAGCTGATTTCCAGCTACAAGGAGAAAAAGAAAAACAGATTATGCAGGAGGGAGATGCAGGGAACAGGGATTGGGTGTTCTGCAAAGAGAGTTGGGAGGTAAATAATTTTGCAATAACTGTTATGCTGATGTTGTGGCTGGTCAAGCAAATGTTTGTGCTTGTTTCTGTTTGATATAATTGTTCATATATCTATTAAAATACTGATATTCTGGTCTAACTCCTCCACGAACTTCCCTCTGCCCTGTGTCTTGGTCTCTCATTGGCTGTAGGTCATCGCCGATGTAGTTTTCAGTCAGAAATCATTGCACACAGCGTGATTGTGAATTGCCGACAGCTCCAGATATTTAGCATGCCAAATATTTCACGGGCGTCGGCGATGCGTTGGCAATTCCCTCAGATCGCGTCTTTGATAATTCACACTGCGTGATTGTCACTCGCATGAACGAGCACCGATTTGCCTCCGATTTCGGGCATTTGTCTGCGATTTCGCAAAACCTGACGGCGAATGAAAAATCGGGCTAAAATCGTGCAGTGTGAACTCGGCATAACTGTCGTAGGCTAGTAAGAGCTGTGCGTGTAAACCTCACTCCACTGATCTCAAGAGGCGCTCTAGCGACTGACTCTAGAGGTCGTGGCCTTTAGCCTCCTTGTTAGAGCGCCCGCCTCCCACGCTGGAGACCGTTCGAGCAAGGCGAAGTAGAATCGGTTACACTGTACCTATGCTCTTTTGAGGGCCACCACATAAACATGCAGTCGGCTCCTACACTCCCATGTCGGGAGTTGCTTATAATGTCTGTTTTAGTCTCATTTAATCAGATTGTAACCAAACTGATTAACCAAACTGTGCTGTAAATGAATACGTACTATCCAAGATGCTCTAGCAACTTGAATGATGTTTCATTTTGCTGTGTGTTGCTCTTTTCAAGGTTTGGATGACTGTCTACTGCAGTACATTAAGAATTTTGAGCAGGAAAAGGTGGGCGGTGAACAGTTGTTGAGAATCACCCATCAGGAGCTCCATGATCTGGGCGTTTCTCGAATCGGCCACCAGGAACTCATTCTAGAGGCTGTGGACCTGCTTTGCGCACTGGTGAGCAAATACGCACACACACACACACAGGTGCATTGTGTTCTCACCACACAAATTTGATCTGCTTTACCGAGTAAGTGAGTTTTATAGCGTCTTGTTGAAGAACTGTTTTATTTAATGGCAGTGTATTGTTTTTATAATAACATAACTGAAATGGCATAATAGAAATTATAAAATGCATAGTTACAGTTCTGGATGCAGATTGGTCAATCCAGCATTCCACCTGTGTTATATTCCATGGGTGTATTATATATGATGTATTATGTACATAATATATTACATCCACCTAGTTCTATAGATCAGGGGTTTTCAAAGTGTAAAAAAAGTGACAATTTTAAATTATATAATCTTTTTTTTTTTTTTTTTGGCATTTACAGGGATAATTCAAAATAAATACATAAAGAGCACATGAATAAAGACAAGTCGTACATATAAAACCTCTGCCTGAATCCCATATTTGTTTCCCCAAACAAATCAGAAAAAAACATACACATACATACACATGTACATAAAAATATTATAAATGTGTGTTAATTATTATATGGAAAATATTTAGAAAAATATATTTACTTTTTCTGCCTATCATCATGATACTTTTAGATGCATTAAGATACATTTAGGAAGGCAAGGGGCATTTAGAAAGAGGATCATCATATTTGAGGGTCTGTGTCATCAAACAGTTTAAAACCTCTCTTGTAGATATTGGCATATTAAAATGCCCAAATTGATCAAGTACTATATGTTTATCTTTATTCCTGAAGCACCTGACCCTGTTTTCCCATGCTGCCTGTATGTTTATGGTAATTGCATCCTGTGGAATTAATAATAGCCAAAACAAACACTTTAAATCCTTAACAATCCCTTGGATTATCCCTCCATTTCCCACTGTCATCCTGCACACGGATTCTAGGCTGTTCTGACAGGGTACAAGAGAAATAAGGACGCCTATGCTGAAGGAGGGAAAGAGAGGCGGAGCAACTGAAAAATTAGGTGGGCAGAGTCAGTAGAAAACTGGCAGCAGTCGGGTGAGAGAAGGATTACAAATTAAAACAGGAGAGAAAGGCTCAGAGGGAGAGTGAAGAAAAGTGTGAGAGAAGGAGCACAGTAGTCCTGAGCGGATGAAGGAAGAGGGTAGAAAAAGGAGGGTGAATGGGGTATGTTAGCCAATATATTTGCAAACTGGCCTCTTTTTTTTTGTTCCCACCATTTGTTATGTCATGTGCTAAAGCCCAGCTAGTGCCTGAAAGCCTCTTATGTAATGCTTCTCTGGGTTTGTCCAACATGGAGCCCTGCTGCATTAAATATGATTACTCATATATCCCTCATGCTGGTTCTATTGCAAGACAGACCCCCTTTGGCTTTTGTGTGCAGCAAGGCATTCTGGGAGAGCCGTACTGTGGTGTCACAGTACATGACTGTAAGGGGGTATCGGGCAGAGGGATTTGACCATGATTCTTACACTGCCTACTAACAAGCCAATACCAGCAGTGATCTATGCATAATGTAGATCTTACTTATGCTTATCCACTTGCTATTTTTATTCATTTCTATGCATAATGTAGAACTTACTTATGCTTATCCACTTGCTATTTTTATTCATTTCAACATACCAAAAAATTGATGTTAAATCTTGCATAAATATACTAATATCTCTTTATGTATGAAATATGTTTGGAAAGTTGCTGTGACTGTGCATTTAAAATGAACTATTGAAGGCTAAATGTGATTAAAAATGGTGAAAAACACAGCCAAGACCCAAGATATACACGGATACATTTATATAAATGTTAGCCTAAAATCTTAATGTTGATTTGAAAATGAATAGATTGATACATACATTGATATATACACACTGTTCAAAAGTTTGTGGTCAGTATGATTTAAAAAAAATAAATTAATACTCTTATTCAACAAGAATGCATTAAATTGATCAAAAGTAACAGTAAAGATATTTATAATGATACAAAAATGTTCTATTTTGCATAAATGCTGTTTTTGTAAACTTTCTAAAGAGTATCACGGTTTCCACAAAATATCACGCACCATAACTGTTTTCAACATTGATATTAAAGGGGTCATATGATATTGCTAAAAAGAACATTATTTTGTGTATTTGGTGTAATGAAATGTGTTTATGCGGTTTAAGGTTAAAAAAACACATTATTTTCCACATACTGTACATTATTGTTTCTCCTCTATGCCCCGCCTTTCTGAAACGTGTTGATTTTTACAAAGCTCATCGGTCTGAAAAGCAAGGTGTGCTGTGATTGGCCAGCTATCCAGTGCGTTATGATTGGCCGAATACCTCAAGAGTGTGACGGAAATGTTATGCCCCTTACCATACTGTGATGATGCCCTGTCAGGCCAGAGCGATGATTCAAAAACATGAAAACCCATTATAAACGAGGCATTCGTTGCATCCAGTGGGGACATAATTATGGATTATAATGACTTATACTGTCTTTTTA